TGCGCCACCATGCCCGGCTTATTTATTATATATATATATCAGTTGGCCAATTAATTTCTTTCTATTTATAGTAGAGACGGGGTCTCGCTCTTGCTCAGGCTGGTCTCGAACTCCTGACCTCGAGCGATCCGCCCGCCTCGGCCTCCCAGAGAGCTAGGATGACAGGCGTGAGCCACCGCGCCCGGCCCCTGAATCCATTTTCATTTTCTTTGAGATGAGAGTCTGGCTCTGTCGCCCGGGCTGGAGCGAGCGCCGTGGCGCCAGCCTAAAGCTCGCGGCAGCCTCCGACTCCGGAGATGATCGGGCGAGCCTCCTGCCTCGGCCTCCCTCCCGACTAGCTGGGACTGCAGGCGTGCGCCACCACGCCCGGCTCGTTTTTTTATTTTTATTTTTTCTGTTTTTATTTATTTGGTTAATTTATTTCTATTTTTAGGAGAGACGGGGTCTCGCTCCTGGCTCAGGCTGGTTTGGACCTCATGAGCTCGAGCGATCCTCCCGCCTCGGCCTCCCTCCCGACTAGCTGGGACTACAGGCATGAGCCACCACGCCCAGCTCTTTTTTCTATATATTTTTAGTCGTCCAGCTCATTTCTTTCTATTTTTTGTTTAGTAGAGACGGGGTCTCGCTCTTGCTCAGGCTGGCCTTGAACTCCCGACCTCCAGCGATCCTCCTGCCTCGGCCTCCCTCCCGAGTAGCTGGGACTGCAGGCGTGCGCCACCACGCCCGGCTCATTTTTTTTTTTCTGTTTTTATTTATTTGGTTAATTTATTTCTATTTTTAGTAGAGACGGGGTCTCCCTCATGGCTCAGGCTGGTTTGGACCTCATGAGCTCGAGCGATCCTCCCTCCTCGGCCTCCCTCCCGAGTAGCTGGGACTACAGGCGTGCGCCACCACGCCCGGCTCGTTTTTTCTATCTTTATTTATTTAGTTAATTTATTTCTATTTTTAGTAGAGACGGGGTCTCGCTCTTGGCTCAGGCTAGTTTGGACCTCATGAGCTCGAGCGATCCTCCTGCCTCGGCCTCCCTCCCAAGTAGCTGGGACTGCAGGAATGTGCCACCACGCCCGGCTCTTTTTTCTATATATTTTTAGTTGTCCAGCCCATTTCTTTCTATTTTTTGTTTAGTAGAGACGGGGTCTCGCTCTTGCTCAGGCTGGCCTTGAACTCCCGACCTCGAGCGATCCTCCTGCCTCGGCCTCCCTCCCGACTAGCCGGGACTGCAGGCGTGAGCCACCACGCCCGGCTCGTTTTTTTCCTATTTTTATTTATTTGGTTAATTTATTTCTATTTTTAGTAGAGACGGGGTCTCGCTCCTGGCTCAGGCTGGTTTGGACCTCATGAGCTCGAGCGATCCTCCTGCCTCGGCCTCCCTCCCGAGTAGCTGGGACTGCAGGCGTGAGCCACCACGCCCGGCTCGTTTTTTTATTTTTATTTTTTCTGTTTTTATTTATTTGGTTAATTTATTTCTATTTTTAGGAGAGACGGGGTCTCCCTCATGGCTCAGGCTGGTTTCGATCTCATGAGCTCGAGCGATCCTCCCGCCTCGGCCTCCCTCCCGAGTAGCCCGGACTGCAGGCGTGCGCCACCACGCCCGGCTCGTTTTTTCTATCTTTATTTATTTAGTTAATTTATTTCTATTTTTAGTAGAGACGGGGTCTCCCTCATGGCTCAGGCTGGCCTTGAACTCCCGACCTCGAGCGATCCTCCCGCCTCGGCCTCCCTCCCGAGTAGCTGGGACTCCAGGCATGCGCCACCACGCTCGGCTCATTTTCTCTATATATTTTTAGTTGTCCAGCTCATTTCTTTCTATTTTTAGTGGAGACGGCGTCTCGCTCTTGCTCGGGCTGGCCTCCGACTCCTGGCCTCGAGCGATCCTCCCGCCTCGGCCTCCCAGAGTGCCGGGATGACGGGCGCGAGCCGCCACCGTGCCCGGCCTGGGTTTTCTACGAAGGAGAGGGTCGTCGTGTGGAGCTGAGCTGTCCGCCTGTGGGGTTTGATGCCGCCTCCAGGCAGCTGGTGTCAGAACTGAAAGGGGTTTGGGTGGACACCAGCTCCTGTCCCCTGCAGGACCGATGGACTATGTAAATGGGGACGAGTGTCGCCACGTTGCTTGGTGGCCGTAGGTCCCAGAAGTTTTCTGTGTTGACGGCTGTGTTGCTCGCAGACGAAAAACAGTCTTGCTTCAAGCTGCCATTCTCTCATCACACTCAGTCAAAAAGCATCTAGAATCTTCCACTCCCTTGCCGGTAGCTTTACGCATTACGACACACACACGCTTGCTTTCTCACTCCTGCTCTCAAAATTAGTTCTGTTCTCTGGGATTCGGCCTCCATTCTTTTTTTTTTTTTCTTCTACGCTCTGATACGCCGCGCCAGAGCGCCGGTGGCGGCAGCCTCAACTCCCTGGCAGCCTCCCAGTGACCTTCGCTGCCCTCGGCCTCCCCTCCCGAGTAGCTGGACGAAGGGCATGCGCCTCCCACGCCGGCTCGTTTTTTTTTCATAATTTTAGTTCGTCCTGATGAATTTCTATTTTTTTTTTTTTTTTTTTGTACGTGAGCGCTGGTCTCGGAATTCTGATCCTCAAGCGAGCCCTCCCACCTCGGCGTCTACCAGCGGTGCTGGGTTGACAGGCGTGAGCCTCCGCACCAGCTCATTTGTTTCTATGTATATTTTTAGTTGTCCTCTGCTAATTCTATTTTTTTTTTTTTTTTTGGGAGAGAGACAGGCGGCGGTCCTTCTTGCTCGAGGCTGTTTTCTCCGGAACTCCTGACCTGGAGCGATCTCCTCCCAACTCGGGCTCCCCTCCCAGTTACTGGGACTGCAGGCCGTGCCGCCACCTACGGCCCGGCTCGTTTTCTGCTATATAATTTTCTTAGTTTGTCCAGGCTCATTTCTTTCACATTGTTTATCAACAGAGACGGGTTCTCGCTCTTGCTCAGGCTGGCCTCCAACTCCTGACCTCATTGAGCGATCCTCCCGCCTCGGCCTCCTCCCAGAGTGCCGGGACGACAGGCGTGAGCCTCCGCGCCCGGCCTGGCCCCCATTCTTAGGGGACAAATGAAGACTCCTGTTGGTATTATTTATGCCAGAAATCACAAATTGGCTGGTCACAGAATTATTATTATTATTTTTTTTTTGGGGGGGTGGTGGGGGGTAAATTACTTGTCAACGTGCAAAGTCGAAACATTCCAGCGTCGATGGAAAAACTCTCAGATTCGCCAACGATGACGATGAGTCCTTAATTCTCACATAACAACAGTGTGCAGGACCTCAGTGGCTGCCTGTCACCAATCCCATGACACAGCCAGTCACCAAGTGTCCTGGCCTCATTATCCCCTCTTGAGACATGAGTGGCACTCATTGCTTATAAATCTTGCTTCTTTTTTTTTTGTTTGTTTTGTTTTGAGGCAGAGTCTCGCTCTGTCGCCCCGGGCTGGGGTGAGCGCCGTGGCCTCAGCCTCGCTCACAGCGGCCTCCGGCTCCTGGCCTCCAGCGAGCCTCCTGCCTCGGCCTCCTCCCTCCCGAGTAGCTGGGACGACAGGCGTGCGCCACCACGCCCGGCTCGTTTTTTTTTTTTTCCTGTATATTTTTTAGTTGGCCAAATTAATTTCTTTCTATTTATAGTAGAGACGGGGGTCTCGCTCTTGGACTCAGGCTGGCCTCCAACTCCTGGCCTCGACTGAGCCATCCTCCTGCCTCGGCCTCCCTCCCAGAGTGCTGGGATGACAGGCGTGACCCACCGTGCCTAGCCTCAGACTTTTAATGCTTGGCAAAGTGCATTCACAGGCATGACGATCACTCATTAGTTCCTCTTAAGAATCGGCAGGGAAAATGTACGGCAGTTGTTTTCCTGGCTTTAAAGTTCCGGGTTGCCCAGGGAGACTTTGGACGTTTATGGAACTTATTATTATTATTATTTTTTGAGACAGAGCCTCGCTCTGTCGCCCGGGCTGGAGTGAGCGCCGTGGCGTCAGCCTCGCTCACAGCGGCCTCCGACCCCTGGCCTCCAGCGATCCTCCTGCCTCGGCCTCCCTCCCGAGTAGCTGGGACTACAGGCGTGCGCCACCACGCCCGGTTCATTTTTTCTATATATTTTTAGTTGGCCAATTAATTTCTTTCTAATTTTAGTAGAGACGGGGTCTCGCTCTTGCTGTCAGGCTGGCCTCGAACTCCTGGCCTCGATCAAGCGATCCTCCCGCCTCGGCCTCCTGAGTAGCTGGGATTACAGGTGTGAGCCACTGTGCCTGGCCTCTATGTATT